AGGCTTTGGATCCCAGAACCTTGGCAGCGCAGTGATGTCACCAAAATCATCAGCAGTACTCAGGTAATCTCGGAAGAGAAAGTTGGCTGACCCACTAGACTTGAGGACATCAGGTCGAGAAGCAACCGGAAGCTTGATGATGCACTGGAAATTCTTGTCATCCTTACCAGCCGTGGGATGCGGAAGGCGTACATATTGGCTTTGTCACAACAATCCGGATCGATTTGGGCGAAATGATGCTTGAGGAAATGAATCTGCTGCTGTTGAGCTTGCTCAGTGAGTTGAGGGCCAATGAGTCTGGAATCCGCATCCATAACTAGCTCTGCAACTTCCGTGGCTGTAAGTTGGACTTTGGGGTCAGGCAACTTGTAGGTGACGGTACCATGCAACTGCCAAAGAATGACAAGACGCTTGTAGGCCGTCTTTGCTTGCGCAACCAGGTCATAAGGGCCAATGACTTTGAGTCCGAGTTCACTGTACTGGTTCTTGTCATTGCCAGGAAGGATAACCAGCATTGTAGCACACGGAGTGATTCGTGCAAGCTCATGAATTGCTGATTTCGTAGCCAGCACAGCCCCAGCTTTTTTGGCACTAAGCTTGTAATCGATGAACTTGCGGAACAGACGCTCCCTTCTCATCCAACAGCGGGTGGTCAACCGGGATGGTAAGATCCTCCCACCTTGTCTGGAAAAGTTTCCTGGGGTTCTTGACCTTGCCAGACTTGGAAGCCCACGGATCATTGATCTGGAGTTGATCAATCTTGTCAGAGCCAGCAGCGTCCTTACCAGTCGGCACATTCTTCCCAGTTCCACCTCCTGCAGCATACTGAAGAGCACCCCTGTTGGCAAGAAGATGATGAAGGAAGTTGGTCCTCACAAGGCTGGCAAAATTCGTGATCCGAGGGAAGGAAGAGGGTAACTGCCAGACCAACCGAGCCCTCTCAATAGTGCTTCTGATCTGCGCTCGAAATCGCGACAGGTTGATCGTTTGCTGAGCTTCATTGGCCAAGGGTGGTACAGCAATGCGAAGGCGCTCACACAATGAGTGAAGGAGGACCCATCCACACATGTTCGGCTCAGGGTTGCATCGAATGATATGAACCCGGCAGGTGAGCTGAGCTTCATCAATTTGAGACATGATGAAAGTTGCAAGTGGCCCTGCATGATGGGCGAGAGCATCCGGCAAACTCATGAAGAGAGTCATAGTGTCATCTGTAACGTGTGCATCGATTTGCGTCCAGCGCTGCTCGATGAGGATGAACCACGATACATGTTGATAGGCTCGGAAGTCCCTTCGTTGGTCGTCAAAGTAGAAGATGTTGCCAGAGGCTGAATCCCATCTTGCTGGTGGCATGAAGCAGAGCTGGGGCCGTTGAAAGCGAATCGTCTGGAGAACAAAGTCAAGCTCATCAGAGCCAAGCCAGCCCGGGTACGAGTTGAAGTGCTGGGTGCGATGGTGCATGTGGCTGTCAGGGCTATCGATGTGGATAGCTGGAGTCTCCTCAGGTTGTGGGCCAGTTGCAACATCATCGAATGAGACAGTGATGGCTTCGTGCAGGACTGCATTGCCCCTCAAGGTGGTAGTGGCCAGAAAGCTGAAGAAGGCTCTTCGCAGAGTGGCTGCAAAGAGCCAAAGGCCATGCGGAATACCATGTTGGTTCCAGTCCTCAATTGAATCCTCAATGACGTCATCAATGAGAGCACGAGCAATCGACGTAGACGCATAGAGGTCACCATTGAGCGGCATGTGATCAAGCATCCCAGCAGCCGTAGACCACCGATGGAGCAGGGACCACCCACAGAAGTGATTGGTATCATCAAGTGCGACATGACTGTATTGAATCCGCTCAGGTGTGATGTCCAACAGCTCGGCCACAACCTGCAATCCACTTCTGAGTAGAGGACCGGGGAGACCAACGAAGGTGACATGAGTGTTGGCACCTTCCCTCTGAATCTCAAAAGCCAGCCAGTGAGAACCCGACAAAATCGGGAGGATGTTGAGTCTATTGTTGGCAGTGAGAATCTCCTGGTAGTCATTTGCATCAAGGTTGGCCGTTTCCAAATTCCAGCGGATGGCAGGATGGAAGATTGCAAGGTGCCAGCCAAGTCAGTTGCCGAAGAAAGAAAGCCATCTCATCGGAGGCCAGCCAGCCACCAGTGTTGCTGGCGAACTCGGCCCTTTGCAGAAGATTTGCCCCAGCCGGAATGGTAGTAGACCTGGTTCCATGGTGTCCTCCACAATGAATCGTGGTCTGCAAAGAAAGGTGCAGAAAATCGCCATGGTCAAAGAGGAGTGGTGGTGGTCCAGGATCCAATCCATTCTTCAAAGCGAGGTAGAAATTCTGGGAGCCAAGCTCAAAGAGTGGACAATCAAGCCGTGATGGGATGTAGAAGCCACATGTCGCCCCATGAGGGCCAAGCTGAACAAGGACAAGCCTGCCTTCAGTGAACTTGTGAAAGATGACTCCATGCGGTTCAGGTCCAAGTAGATGGTCCTGATCACGGATCTTGAAGGGGAATTGCTGAGTATCCTGATCGAGATGATCCCAAATGTTGCGAACGCAGCGAAAACGTGCTTCCGAGTCGTCACAGCCACTAAAGGTGAGAGTGCAGGGCAACGCACCAAAGGTGACAGTGAACATGGTTGTCGCCGAGGAGGTCACAGCGACACCGTTGTTCTCAATGAGTGAGAGGGCAAACTGGAAGTGATCACCAGCAAAAAGGGCATCATCCTACACGAGCTTGAGGCGGAATGGAACATCAGTCTGCTCAAGGAGTCACAGCAGGCTGACTGAACAGCCGGCCAGCATTGAGTCGGTGCACAACCGTCGGAGTCCTTGCAGATCGAAAGGTGAGCAATCGGGAAGGCGCGAACAAAGAGTGTCCATTCATGGTATTGTTCGAAAATCTGGGCAACGGTCTGACGTGGATTGAGCTTCTCTCCAGTGGCCGCAATGTAGATGTGGGCCGAGATGTCAAACTTCCAGGAGAAGCACTTGAGGAGGTCAGAGACATGCCATGATGGGTTGACAATGAGGGAGGTGATCCTGCCATTGACATGCCGGCAGCACAGTGTATAGTGGAAGTCGTTCACCAAGAGGTCACTGTGGATATTGATTTGCTCAATGATGACTTCAATGCCAGCAAAAATGTAGAAGTCGTGCTGCTCAATGATGATCGCTTTTTGGCCAACGACTCTCCTCTGCCAGATTTTGTTGACTGCACCATTGACATTGAGACCCCATTGGAGGAGATAGTCAAGGCCAGCAAGGAGAACCAAGAGTGCATGCGGTGTTGCAATGGAGTTTCCAATCTGCCTGTAGAGGAGCTGCAGCTTATTGGACAGGACCGTTGGTTCAAAGAGGCCGAGCATCGCAGCCAACAGTGCTGGGTCAAGGAATTCAGGTCCAGCATCACCCTCTTTGAGAGTGGCGAAGATGCCCTTCTGCTCGAGGAGGTGTCGGGGTAGTAGATGCTGAAAACCATAGGCAGCACATACCGTAGGCACAGGTTCATGAGGTTGAAGAAATCTCGCTCTTAAGATGACCTCAGCTGGTGCGGCAGGGTCGAATTTGGCTCTCTTGGCCGGTGGTAGAAGCGAATGCTGCGCATAAGCTGACTGAACCTCACACGGAATGGCGATTTGCTCTGACAGACCGTGGGAGCTGGAAACGAAAGCGTTCCGAAGTCCATCGTTCGGGCGAGTCAGACTTGAGACACGGCAAAGGTTTGGGACCTTGACGGACAATGTCACGCCGAACGAAAAATGCGAGCCACCTGGACCGATGCATATGGACAAAGGCACGATAGTGGACAACATCTTCCCAAATGCTAACGTAACCAAGGTCCCGAAGCAAGAGGCTGACAATCTGGAAATGAGGATGCTGAGCCAAAGCATCAACGCATTCCAAAGCCAAAAGGACAGGTTGGCCCATCGCGCACTGCTTGATCGCCTCTACAAATGACCACCCCTCAGGGCAGTTTAGCCCACGGCCAAAGCCACCCTTGCTCCATGAAACACAGGGCGGGGAGGCAGAAAATACCAAATTGGAAATTGGCTGTACACCATGCAAAATGGTGGGATCAGCAACATCCCCATGGATGACACGATTCAAGGTGACTTCAAATGCCTGGCTGGCATTCAGTGGTGCCTGAACGGGTTTGGACCCATGTTTCATGGACAGAGCAGCGATCACATCACGATCGAGGTCGACGAACGTCTGGGTGCCAATTGTAGTCTGAGGCATAGTCCATGGAATAGTGGAGATCGCTTGACCCCACCCTGAAAATGCACCGGCGAACAAAGGCAGGCATTCTATGGCATCGTTTTCAACTTCTCTTAACAATGGTGACCGCGCTGTCCCCTTTCCAGGTCCCATCCTCGAGACGAGCGAGCGGCCCAGCGAAGATGCAGCAATCGCCAAAAGAAAAGCTACTGAATCGTGAATCATGACCTTCGTGTCAAAAGCAGGCCCTTCCAAATGAAAACCATGGCCCCTTACAAAGGGAGACAGTGAGGCTTCAAAACAGTCATCAACCCGGCTCCAAATGGTGCCACAGAGGATTTTGCAATCCTCCCAGTCCAGCGAGGGACCACCATCAAGTCCTCGAAAGATCATCTGGGCGCGAGAGCGCCAAGGATCCATCAAAAGGTCCAAGCTGCAGTTAAGGTCCATGGCAAGAAAGCTAGGGAAAGCACCACAGCAAAAGACCTAGAGAAACAAGGTGCCTGCAGGAGAAGCAGGCTCTTTGGACGCCCTCCTCAGGTTACGAAACCTGCAAAAGGGCCCCGGCCCCGTGAGGCGTGAGCCCTAGGGTCCTGAACCCAGAAGGCTAGGTAGTCTATTCTGTTCATTCTTGGCGGTCAACCAGCGTGTCCGGGTTTTGACCCACAGCCATATGAATCAGTGTTTCAATGACAATTACTGTATTGTTCAAGGACGAGCGCAACGCACCTGCCTGATGCATCCTGAGTATTGGTAATGTATTCTCGAATCGCAGGTCATCGCTGACACCATCTTCACCTGGGCTCGGGAGTTGGGCGCCATTGATTTTGCCCACTGGTGGCTTGGCCTGTGAACACGCAAGATGCTTCAAGAATCGTGCAGGTATTCCAGCAATCCTTTTGTTAGTGGCAATGTCTCGCGTTAGTTTTGACAATCAACTTCAGTGTCGAAAGAAGACAGCGCCTGTCTGCTGGTCGTGCATGGCACCAAGTTGCCAAGTCAAAAGAGATGTTCGTTCGAGGTTCTTTCCTTTGCGTGGTGGGGGCGGAGCTGTTGGTGGCATGCTGGGCGCCTTCAAGAAAGACACATTGATTGATCTGGAGTTCTCGTCTCCGTTTGTTACAAAGCCCATGAAGGCCGAATTCTCGAGTAGACGCGTAGGAGAATCTTGGAAAAGCTCGACTGGCGAATGGATTTGAATGGTTGAATAGTGGAGTGTCGGCACTAACTTTGCCAAGGATGTGCTCGCAGACATATTGGGATAGATCGATTGATTGCCCCTGCCCTGGTATTTTTTGGTTGCCTGTATCCCGATCAACATGCAAATCGATGTTGCACTTAAGGACCTGGAGTCCCCCCAGGTTGCCCGGAGTCACACGCTCAAGTCATGGTGTTCTGAAGTCTTTGGTGATCTTTGGTGTAGTTTGCTGCTTCTACCAGTACAGTTTTCTTTTGCTCATCCTGTTCGGATCCCTTCCTATAGGTCAAACTTGCTAGCAGAAAGCACTAAACCGACTAAACCTATACTTCAGCCTTAGAATCGTCATCAACTTGATCATTTGATGCTCCTGCCAGGCCTGCTTACCGCACGAGCGTTTGTTTCAGGGAGAGACCGACGGATCCTCATTTCCCAATGGTGGCCTGCGGGTGACCCACTCAGCAGCCGCATTTACCACCTGGGACAGATCATCACCGCCCTTTGTGACTTGGTCCAATCTGTTGAACACAAGCACAAGGACTACAGGCGGCTATCCCGTCCACGTGCACCCTACAATGAGCGTCCCCTGTAGTTAAGATAGTTATAACTTAAGATATTCCAGTTCCCAAAGTTATAAGTTAGTTATACGGAAGTTATTGAAAAGCATTTTTATCTATGTTACAAATTAGTTATAAATTAGTTGTCGAAGTTATTAACTTCAGTAACTTCAAAACGTGTTGACCAAAGTTGTTTTTCCACGAGAAGAGAGAACTGTTTTCAAGGATGCGTGAACCACAACGATTTGTTTTCAGAAACTGATATGAAAAGGGTGGGTTTGCAGCGCAGAAAAAATTGGTGAGTGGACCACCACCACCATCAGCACTCAGAAAAAGCACATCTTTTCTCACAACAAACACAGGACTTCACTGCTTTGCAGCGTCCACCACGCAGGCTGCCACAGCGTCTCCACTTTGTGGAGGCTGATGGCTTTTGTCTCTTCTGTTTTCTGAAAGAGACGTGTATTGGGTTCAGCAGCGTTGAGCTCTAACAAGCACTCGACAAATACAAAAAATTCATCAGACTCTTTGCAAAAGAACAGGATCAAGCCAGCAAAGTGTGACCCCACAAACAAAACAGCGTCTTTGCGAAGCTCCATAGTACCCATGATGTAGCCAGTGCTGATTTCACCACGAATGCCGCTAGCTTCCTCGACTTGATCAGTTGGAAACACTTTGCCTGTCAAGCTCCTGCTCCACCTGCCTGATTGCAGCTCCACAGATCTGAGAAGCATTCGGGTCAAGGTTTGTTGTGAAAAGGTTCCTTCTCTCTCTCGCAACAACCCTCCCAAATCATCGCACAGCTGGTTTTTGTAAAGCTGGTGCCGGGCTTCGGTGGGCCAGCAATCGCAATAGCAACAAGTCATATAGCGACGACTCAAATGCAGGGCTAGGTGATGCTTTGGTCTGATTTCACTTTCACCGTAGCAGCTGAGATACAAGTCGAAATGTTTTTTTTGAGCCGTGGAAGGTCCCTCGGTGAACCCCATCCACGACGTAGGTCTTTCAAACATCTCACCACCTCCATCAAGGCATGAAAACACTGGAGCTCTGGCAAAGTTTCATACGTTGCTAAGTTGCTGGCGTAATAGCAAACTATGGGTAGAAGGTACCAGACAGCACTGCCTGAACCCTTGTACACATTCCCCTGCCAAAGAGATTGTTCGAACAAGTGCTTGCGAGCGGATCGTGGTCGAAACTTCAAAGACTGGCAAGTCCATGCAACTTCCTGAGCACTAGCGCAAAGCTGTTGCAAAGTAACTCCAACCTTTGTTTCCAATGCTGCTTGTAGGAGTAACAGTTCCTGCGCAGCGATCCCATTGCTGAAATATATGTGCATACTGTCTAGCACCGCCTTGTCAACGCTCAATATATCACGTGCTCTAGTGGAAGCCAAAAGTGTTGTTGGATGGATTGTAAAGCCCAGAATTCTTTCCTGCTCTTCTCTTTCTCCCTTGGGGAGGCTTGGAACTGTGGCCAGCATGTGGTCATACACAGCATTCAATTCTGCCTGCTGAAGAAGTTGAAACTCTTCTATATTGGAGCAAGTGATTCTGCGAAAGTATGTGTCAGCGCGGTCTGTTTGAGATGTCTTTGAAACGCAATTCATGCACAAGCAGAATGGCTTTAGGGCCGCTGCTCCCTTAGCTCCAAAGAGCCGTATGATTGCATCATAGTCGCCCAGCACAGCCTTGACAGAAAGGGTGAAATGCACTCCTGCAACACGAACACCATTGTTCAGCCAATGGGACAAATAATCGCACAGCTTCACTGAGATAGCTGTGAGCCCCCCAGGAATCAAGTGCAAGTCCATGATAGGAACCAATGAAAACGGAAGCCATGCTTCTGGGGAGCGTAGGTGTTGCACTTCTGCGGTGGCAAGGTAAAACAATGTAGACTTTTTGTTTTGCGCTGTTGCCAGCACGTTACCGCCCGTGGTCTCGTCAGAGTACCAAAGCAAGGACAGGTGCTTCCCTGCAGAAAGCAAAGCTTCTTTGTAAGCGGGGCTTCTGGCTGCAACATAGTTGAAGAGACTCTCTATATTTGCATCGTAAAAGCAAACTGGTTCGCCATTCTGGTCGGCCATCGTGATCGGAACATAAACTTCCTTTGCAGGTCCAAATGCCTTCTCAGCTTGCCTCCTGAATGCGCCTGTTGGCTTTGATGCTGGCTCTTTGCCAGCAGCAAGCCGGCTCAGCTTGTACACAAGTTGAGCACTTGCATGAGCCAAGGATTTTGACAGGCGTTGCTTCTTGGATGGATGCGTTGCCATGCGTTGCCATTCGCGCTGAACTCTCCAGAGAGTCTGCCAACTGTAGCACTTTAGCAATGACATGTTCTATGTATGAACAGTATGAACTGTAAAAGCAAATGTCACATAAAAAAGTTACTCATGCATTCAGGATATGCATTGACATGTTAGTCTTTGAGTTTTGATCCTGCAGGTGTAAACGGCCACGTCCTCAAAAAGCCAAAATGAAAAATTAGTTATGATTTGTGCTGGGCGTATTGGTCTCTTAGATGGATAACACTAGCTGTATCTAGATATTATTTGATAGGGCTATATGTGAGAGGTGCAAATATTTTAGAGATTAATAAATTTGATTCTGTGGACCACCACAAAATCAAGTTTATTAATCTTTACAAATATAGAAATATATATATACAAATATTTATATTTTTGTTTTAGCACTAGTTACATATACAGTGGAGGTGGTGGTCCACCTATGATATAGATATATATATATATACAGTATATATATTATAGACCTGTCCTTAGTCCTCAGATAGATCGGTATATATATATAGTTGAGGTGGTGGTCCACCCATAATATATATTGTATATATGTACGTTCTACATATTGGACCTTATATATATATATAGGTGAGGTGGTGGTCCACCTCTTTATAGTCATATTTTTTCTTACCAAAAACCTAAATATTACAAGTAGATAGCTGCATCTATTTGTTTAAAGGGCTATATATTGTAAATGTAAATAATATTTTATAGATCAATATATTTGATTTGTGGACAACCACAAACCAAATTTATTGATCTTTACAGTGGTGTTTGGTAACTTATGGGTGTTTAACTCTTTGATTACGCTCTTGGAATTTAGAGGTAATCTTTTTGGTTATGATTTGTATGGCTCTGTGCCTGTAGGTTGCTTTAAGATTGCTGTGTGTTTCCTTTAAAATGTATTTTGTAGTAGGTAAACCCAGCAACCGCTGGGTATTGTGTATTGCGGGTATTGTGACCAAGGCTTGCAACTGGCAGGCAGGCAAAAGGGTGAATGAGCACCGTCACAACCTTTTTTTCCTCACACAGCTCTGATGTGGGAATCTCCACAGCAGTAATTACAGCGAGCTGAAAAACTCACCTTCAGCATTCACAACATACCTAATTAGGCGCCGCCCTTCTGTGGTTTCGCTGCTTTTCGAGCGTATGTCAATGCCTTCAGCACTGAGTTACAGCTCTTCACCTCAGGACCAATCTCACAGCCATAGAGATCGTGAACTCGTCCTTGTCGACAACTTTGCCAGAACTGACCTGCTTCATGATCTTCTGGGCGTCGTTGACTGCTGCTTTTGTCCAGTCAATCCTTTCTTTCACATTTTTGATGGTCATCTATCTCATCAATGTTGTCCTTGTTCTTGTCCTTTTGCAGCGCACCCCAAGCCTTTTCAAGCTTGCCCAGCATAGGCTCAGCTGAAGTGATTACCTTGGTGGCTTTGGACACCAATTCCCTCGAAGACTTTTGCTGTTCAGCAAGGTTCTTCCTCTCGGCCTTCGCGGCTTCTCGCTTAGCCCTGGCAGCGGCTTGCTTCTGAGTCAAGTCCTTGCCACCACAAACGATCACCTGGGTGAAGATTGCGCTGGGTGATCAAAAAAACGTTAAAACTATGACCAGTTAACTGAAAAACATTTTGACCGGTTGGTTGAACAAGTTGGGAACCCAAACCACACATAATTCACACCCATGTTGTAGCCACCCATGTTGTAGCCTAATTCTACCCTAATTCACTATCAGCAGAAAATACTTCATAAGCATCTCAAACCTTCAGACCAATAACTTGGAACTCAATCCCAAACATGCAATATATCCTATAGACATGTTATAACTAACCCTGTGAAAATAAATTGACAAGTCACTTCGACATCGCTGTCGGACTCCATGGCCATCAGGTCCACAAACACTGGGTCGGGTGCTGGCTTGTTTTCCTCCTCTTCATCCTTTTCTTTTTCCTCCTCAACCGCCTCACCCTCCGGGTCCTTGCCTTGTCCTTTCTTTTTTGGCGCAGCCTTAGCCTTCTTCTTGGGCTGTGGCCTCATGTGCTCAGGAAGTTGGTTTCGTTTCACAGTCTTTTCAACCTGTGTCAACGATTCTTCGATACTCTGCTCGATGAAGTCTTCACTAAAGCGCTTGATGTCAATGCGATAGGTATCGCCCAAGATTGGGTGAACTTCTTTCTGCGCTAGCTCCTCAATCTTCTTGACATCAAAGCCTCTCAGGCGGTATGTTTCCAGTGGCAAAAACTCTCCCGTATAGCCTCTCTTCTTTTCTTCCACTGTTTTTTTCACCAGCACATCCTTGAGCTCATTCCGCAGGACCTTGTACTTCAGGTGTCCCGAAGCTGTCTCCTTTTTGGAAATGATGCTGCGAAAGAAATTCACCCGCTCTTCATCGGACAGTTGGTCCCATGCAGGTGGCATGGAAGTAAAGTGACGAGACATCATAGTTGATGATGCATGGCATGCCTTGCAAGTCACGCTCTTTTGGTTCAGGCTCTTCAGGACTGTGTTTTCAAGGGTCACTGGCAACTGGCACTTGCCACAGATGGGCGTGTTGGGCGGCTCATCCTTAGCATCCGTTTGGGATGAAAGGTCGACCATAGTATCCCCTCCATTGGCGTAGAGCTGCGTCTCTGCCAGGGACATGGTATCA